CCCCCCCCGCCCCATGTGTACCCAGGGCCTCCCCCCAGTCTGGCCAATACTTCCCATCTCAGATGCTCAGAACAGCAGGAGGCAGAAGCCCCTCTCTTCCACACCAGGGAGACCATGGCCACCAGCGAGACCATGGCCACCAGGGAGCACCGGCTTTGGTCAGCGCCTCCCACCCTCACTACCTTCTCCCCCTCCCTCAGATCTGGAGAGTAGTGGAGCCCAAATGCCAGCTCAGGGCAGGACTGCTGAGCCCCAGTCAGAGGGGCTGTGCGGCTGAGCTAGGAGCTTGTGTTTGGCCTTCGCGCTGGGCCTCGCTGGGGGCTAGGTCCTCAAAGGGGAACCATCAGCTAGCCCAGAGGAGGTACTGGCCAAGGAAGTGCTCACCAGGCCAGCCATCATGGGTCACAGGTGCCGCAGCCAACCAAGTCATTTAATCCCCAGAAAAATTCTAAGAGATAAAGACCCACATTCCAATCTTGCAGAAAATTTGAGACGCAGATAGTTTAGGTGTTTTGCCCAAAGTCACACAGCCGATTCTAGGGTTCCAACCCAAGAAGCTCTCCCCAAAGGCAGCACCAGTGAGGCCCACCTCTCAGGCCAAGACTCCCTTGCAGCAGCAAGGGGGCGGAGGTGGGAGGTGCCGATGGGGCTGAGAGCTGGCTGGCTGTCTCTGCCTGTCTCCTAGTGTGTTCCTGCAAGGAACACTGAACATACTTGCTCTAAGCAGAAAGAAAAAAAGTGGTTCTGGAAGCTTTCAGTAGCGCCCCTTTCAGGCCCACGCTGGGCTTTCCCTGCGTCTGAGGGGCAAGCTCCCTGCCCTGCCACCCCTCCCGGCCTGCCTCTCTCCCCCAGCGACCTCCTTTCCATTCTCACTTACCTCCTTCCCTTTCACTCTCCCTTTGGAAGGCAGTTCAGCTAACACTCATTAGCACGTGTTAATGAGCATCAATTCATTTCTCAGTCACTCAGCAGGAGAGGCCACTCTGGGGGTAAAGGGTTTGCAAAGTCCCAGGCAGGTGCCCAGGACTCAAGCCACCAGAGACCATGGGAGGGACCAGTCCCCAGCTCCAGGAGCCACTCCCCCCCCCCCACCTAGAACTCCCCTGGGGCTGCTTCCATATTCTCTGAATCCAGCGCAGAACACCCTGGTCACAGCTGGACAGCCCCTGCCCACTGATGCAAATACCTGATGTCCCTAAGGTGGGCAGGGCTAAGACCTGTAGGAGAGGATGCAGCTCACTTCCCCCAAGACAAGTGTTTAAAAGCCCCCAAACCTGCTCAGGTGGAGGGAGAGGTCCAGTGTGGACAATAATTGAGACCCCAGGGGGCAGTGGAAGCCCCTTCTCCAGCCCTATCTGGATAGTCCAGTGGGTGTCCCCTGATTCTAGCCACTCCCCAGCATAGCCCTGAGAACGCCTGGCTTTTCCCCAAGAAAGGGCCCCAGCAAGAGGCCAACCAGAGAGCTGGGCTCAAATTCTAGCTAGGTCCCCTCATTTGTTGGGCAAGTCATTTAGTCACTTCAAGTCTCCGAGGCCCTCATCAGAATCCTTGGAGGGGTCAGACGAGAGATGGCATGAGCGATATCTGGTAAATCCCAAAGTCCAGGTGCTAAGTACTTGTTAAACTTGTAACTACTGGGGCGCTGCTTTTACTACCGTTAGCAATAATACGCGTTGGCTAGCCTCAAGCCCGTCAGAGACAGAAGGAAGGGAAGGACAGCCCGTTCAGCCCTTTGCAACCAAGAGTCTTTAGCCTGCCCCATCAGGCGCGGAGAGATGTCAGCTCAGGTGTGCGCGCCCCGCGGCGTACCCTGACAGCGCCCCAAGGCGGTCATGGCCGCCGCCCCGCCGCGACTCCGGCAGATTCTCTGAACGCGCGCGCCGCCTGCTGGCGGCCGGCCGCAGGCGCAGCCTCCGACAGTATATAAAGGCAGCGTGGCGCGCCAGACCCGGACGAGCCCCGGAGCAGCAGAGCGGAGCCCGCACGCGGGGATAGCGCTTTGCTGCCTGAGGTCTCCGAGCGGCTCGCCATGGCTGGCCCGCAGCAGCAGCCCCCTTACCTGCATCTAGCCGAGCTGACGGCGTCCCAGTTCCTGGAAATCTGGAAGCACTTCGATGCAGACGGTCAGTAACGCTCCCAACTTGTGTGCCCATTCTGCCCCCAGGGACCTGCGCTGGAGGGAAGGGGCATAGCTATGGAGGCAGCTTACGGTTGCTCCAGGGGTCTTCGGCCTCAGAGCTGCTGAGCCCTGGTTCTGGTGGTTAGGAGACATCTGGCCACTCTGGTGACAACTGTCAATAACTTTTCTTCCCTGACATAGATGACAAAGAACCCACTGGCTTTGCAGCCTCATTCTGGCCAAGTTGGTAAATCCCCAGAGAGGAGGCCTGGGCAGGCAAGGCTCCCCATGATTTCCCCTGCCATCTTTTCTTCACTGCCTTTCTCTTCAAGGCAACTAACTTCCTGCTTTCAGCTGCTGCAGCCACAGGTCTCAGAAGCCCACTCATGTCTTTTCCCAAGTTCCCCTTCTGGTGAATACCTGCTTAGCCTGGCCACTGCTTTCAGCCCATACTGGAGCCCCCTGGGGAAATCCTGAAGGGAAATCCAGCCTGTTTGACAGGGTGCAAGGAGGGGACATTGATATCACTGATATCATTGATATCACATTGAGTCCTAAGCACTCTAAGCTTCCTCCCCATTTTTCATCCCCCCTGGGCATGCAGGTTCCACCCACAGTGGCAGTAGGTGTGGTGGGGGTAGGGTAGAGATGCCAGCCTAACACTTTCCCCAAGTCATGAAATCCTGGGTGTGGTTGGTGACTCCATCTCTG